CAGACGTGTGCTCTTCCGATCTCCCCAAAACCCCAAAACCCCAAAACCCCATAAGTCTAAATGATAAGATATTTCAACTATTAAATATAAAATATGTTAGGATGTAAATCTTAATATACAATACCATGTTTAAACTCAGCTTACACTGCTTTATATCAAATTACTCACTTTATTTTGTACTTTATTCTGATTTGTTATATAAATCCTTCGTCAACATCTCCAAATTTAATGTCCATCAAGCTGAATATTTAATCCCAGAATATTTCAGACTTCTTGATATCGAAAGACTATTAGTTCTAAGGAAAGAATTCATTACTTTTGAGAGCTATTAATATGTCTCCATACTCATTGATTTGTAATATCTTTTTTTTGAAATATTTTAATATCATGAGGATGATCTTGTATATAGATACCCAACTATCTTTGAAAAAAGCTGTGAAAAGTTTAGTTGTTTTGGTTAAAGGTATTGATGAGGTGAATAGACTAATGAACCAATCAGAAGAAAAGACTTCTATTTCAACTTGGTTTAATCTAAGATGGTCACCTAGATCAGGCATTTTTTCTTAAATAAGTCCCTCCATGATTTTAAAGTGTTTTATTAGGCCTAGAAATTCCTATCCATAAACTTGATTAAGTTCGTACTCTTTAAGAAGTGTCTCAATCAAGTAAAATGTTAGAACTTCATCTGAATGCAGAAGCAAGCAAGCCCCAATAAAATTCATTCCTTGAATGTAGCCTCTGCTTTAATCAATTTTACACAGATTTATTAAGACTCTATTCAGAGTCTCGTAGCCATCACTATCTTTAGAAAAATATGGTATATCCTAAAATGTTCTAAAAAGATCTCTTGCTATTTGATTTTCATCATCTACTACCATTTCCCTGTCATTTAGTTGCTATAAAAAGATTATGAGATCGTTTACTTACATCATATTTTTTCTTTATTACTTGGAAGTCAAAGTTCTGCCTCGTTTTGTTCTTTATAATCTGAATCCAAATCAAACAATTTTCACACATGCTTGTATCATAGTATTGCTGCTTTGAGCAATCACATTAAGATCTCTTCTTTGATCTTAAATGATGCGGTCCTTTGCTTTCTTACAGCTTCCCTTTCAAAAAGCTGAGCGTTCTGTTAATTCCAAGGATAGTTTAGCTATTTAATAAATCAGATGCTTAATGAGCTAGATTTTGAGAGTTTGTGGAACTCTGTTTCTAACTAAGAGCCTCAACTCCAGCAATCAAAGAACTTTGATGAGAAATATCAAATTACTCTGATTAATTTCCATTCGAGACACTGATTTAAGCCATGCCAGTGCCAGTTGCATTAGTATTATTGGATTCTTAAGTTTCAATATACTGTGGCTAAGTATTGCGGCCGCAACTTTTGTCCTGTAAATTTGAGAATCTCTTTATGATTGATCTGGTGCTTGTTTTGGGAGAAGTTAAACGAGGTTCATAATTTCCTTAAGTATTAGAAGCATTAAATTCTGTAAGGTTAATAAGAGTAATATCATTTTAGTATCTTGGGGATCTGTAGCTCTCAGGCATGCTTACCCTTTCAATAATAAGTTCAGTTATTAAAGTCCTGCTTTTCTATGTGCTAGCTGGCTTTTTGTCATCTCTAAATTTCTTGTCAATCCTAGTAGTTAGTCTGTCAAAATGCTTATTAAGAAGATACTTTGAATCAGAATTTCCGTGGTAACTGCTAGAGTAGACAGACATCTACTTTTTTTATCTTCCTGACGGAGGAGCAAGCTTCCTCGGCAGAAGAGATTCCTTAGATATTACGTTAGTAATTTTCAATGCTTTAGGAATAGACTTAATTTTCTGAATGCTAAGTTTATTTTCTGGGCTCTCTTTTGAGGAGATAAAGGCTGCTTTGAATTGAGGCTTCTTGGCAATAGAGTTATTCTAGCTGATTTCTTTTTCCTCCTTGAATGGTGGCTTTATTAATAAACTAGAGCTGTCGAGATTGAAGAAAGCAGAATTTGATGTTGTAGATTATACCTAGCATTTGGGGGATAACTGATTAGTTAGCAGTGAGAAATCTTTCGATTTTTAGGGAAGCTGCTTAAAAGGTTTAGGTGGATAAGAGGAGTCAGAGATTCGCTCAATGAGAAGCTTTTATTTTGATTTCATATTTCTATTAATTTAATTAATGATCTTGCAACTTCAATCAAAAAGTCCTATTTTATTGTAAAAATAAACTTACTTTTGTAATTGCTGAAAAATAGAATAGAGGCAACATGGGGTTTTGGGGTTTTGGGGTTTTGGGGTTTTGGGG